CTGAAAATGAGCTGTTGTTAAAAAAATAATTCTTAGGAAAACTAGACTGCAAGAAACCATACTTTTCTTAGCAAGCCAACTGAATGCTTTGTGTATATATAAAGCCCAAACACAGACAGACAGCGCTCAGTTTGAGCAATGTTGAATCTCAACAAATTACTAGTTCATCTTCCCTCCAGACACCTCCAGTGCCAGGGATGCTCCAAGGAACATCAGCCAAGGAACAGCCCCTAATGCCAAGCTCACATTTCCTAGCCAATAATTTACCACAATCCCTTCAGTCATGCTAAGTCTGACATCTGCGTTAATCCAAATATTTCAAAATGTTTTTTTCAAATGTTTTATCTCCTGTGATTGAGAACTGTTCTTTACAGCTTAGTCATGGTGGAATTTTTTTTACTCTTTTCCTTGTAAATTATTCAGTTGAGGGAAAAAAAAAAAAAAAAAAAAAAAAAAAAAAAAAAAAAAAAACCAACCAACAACAAAAAAACATAATCCTTTCTTAAGAAAGAAAAATGCAAAGCAATGAAAATTCAGTTTAATCATCTTATTTAGGCTGTCTCAGCAGTTCTTGGAAAAAAAACCAGAAAATCCTGTTTTTATACACATACATACTGAATACATACTAAGTGGAAAATACTGAGTAGTCACTCGTAAACAGACTTACTTTCATGTGGAATGTCTTATAACTGGTAAAATACTCTGCAGCTTTAAAGTTTCAGTAGCATGGGCACATTTACTGGAGGTTTTAACTGGAACATGTATTTTCCCTATCAAAGATTCAGAAACTTTGAATAAAACTTGCTAATCCCCTGTTATCCTTATTGTTACTGATGTTAAGAGCGGGTAGTAGCATTAGGACTTTAAAAAAGTTTCTCAAATTTATTTCCAGAGATCAATTCTTTGTCTCGGTGATGATAGACAGCATAAAACATCTGCAAATCAGCATTTATGCAAAAATAACTCTTAATATGAAAGAATCACTTGTGCAAACACTAGCTTTCACATTCAGTTACCGCCTTGGGCAAAGTACATCATCAATATTTCTGTGAGCAAGAAATTATTCTCTGTGTACAAAGAGTATATCTTAACACGCTGCCTGATTCTCAGAAAATACTCATTTTTATTGCCTTTGATGGCAGAGAAGGAAAGCCAGCCTCTTTTTGCATATGATAGTTTGGGCCCCCAAATGGGAGGTGCTGATTTTTGCAAAAAGTGTGGACCTGAAATTAATTCTTTTACTTTCCTCCCTCTAGCCCAAAACTTTGGCTTCTATTGCAATATCTTTCCGCATACAGTCTAGTAGGAAAGGTCTTCCTCTGCAGTACTGATTTGGTTTCAGGTCCATTTCACTGGGCACAGCAAAAGCATCTAGAGCATGTAAGAAATCTTCAAATGAAGTCTCTGAAAAAGAGCTTGCAATCTCCTGTTATATCACCTATGCCATCTGTACAGAATTTTCTCAAGAAATTACAAGATCATAACAGCATCCCCAGATTCCTTTGTGGACATGTTCCTAATGTTCAGGGTAATTATCTTCTTGATAAGACTCAACAATAATCACACTTGGGTATTTTAAGGACTTCTTAAATGGCAAAGACATTTCAGTGTCTTGGCCTATATACAGATGAAAGCCATAATTATAGGAAACTTGCAAAAATCTCTCTTTAGGGAAAATGAGTAGAATTTGCTACATTTACTAAATATTTTAGCAGCTGCATCCACTCCCATTTTCTGGGAAACTAATAGGTACATGTTGTCAGAGATGCACAGCATTATTTTGAGTCACACTGAGCTAGGGAGGTCCGCAGGTGCTGAGATGAGCAGTATCAGCCTCCTGGGGCTTCTTGCCTGGCTCTGCCCTACAGCTCAGCACTGTCCCCGACCCACTGTGCCACAGCTGTAGATATGATATGGCGTGAGTTACAGACACAGCACCATGCCAGGCTTCAAGAGCTGCAGTGCGTGTCATAGCCTTCCACCAGGACCTCGTTTCATCAGTCCAACCACATTCACATACGAAAACCAAGCTGGGCATTCTTGAAAGAAAACACCAACACTCTCTGACAAGAAACGGCATTACTCTAAAATATGGGTCCCATCCTGCCACTGGTGCATGGTATTTGCTGGCCTGAAAATTGCCCACGAACAGCTAGCAAGATTCTCAGATGTGCTCATTTTTTGGAGGATTATTCTCAATGTGCAGTCAGCCTGTAAAAGGTCTGTGCATACAGACAGTCTCCATCAGGTCAATTACTCGCAGAAGTTGCATGGTGCTTTTTCTGTGCTGCGACTGGGTGACTTGTCTGCCTTGCACAGCGTGAGCTGTGAATAGTGCAATTAAGTGCACAACGTTGAGTCACAATATGGAAACATGACAGCAAGCATTTGCTTTTCATAATCATCTACCATAATAAAGTTTGAGACTTTTCTTACTAATAGCATGACAATTAGGCTGGGAAAGGGTCAGACTGAATTAAAACGTTTTTAAGGACAAGAATCTCGCAGCTCAACATTGCTGCTACCCTGTAAGACAGAAACAAGGAGGTGATGAGTCTCCTTGGCTGTGCCAGCATCCACAAACACAACATAACCTGTCCCAACTGACAAAATCCAGAGCGATGAAAGCTTTCTGCTCCCCATGTGAAAATCTACATCCTACTAGTAGGGCCTTCAAATACAGTGCAACACAGTTCAAGAACATAATGGAAAAATAGAGTTTTATTTTGTATTTGTACTATCTGCCAAGTTTGCCTGTGCTATTTTCTGCTAATCTGTTCCCCACGTGGCAAAAAAAGTTCAATGACAGCAGGAACATGAACTTTAGTCTTCACCTCACAGCAGAGAAGAAATGGTAGAATGGGCCGCTGCAGGAAAGCAGGGAGCTCTTTTCTTATTGGTGGGGTTTTTTCCACCTCTCTCCTCTCAATTTCCTTAAAAGTAATTAAATCTAAAACTTCACTTGTCATGAAAATTAGAGCCAGTTCACTTTTATCCAGTTAGCCTGCATTTCACTGATAAATTACTTGGGGGATGTTGTAAACCACTCTAAACTGTTATTTTTGCAGAAAAGAGAAAGGAAAAAAACAGAATTTAACAGAAAAAGAAAAAAAAAAGTCATATTTGTTTCAAGGGATGGCAGTGCAAGGACCAGGATAAGATGCTTGTTCTGGACAGCCATTATCTGTAGATCTCATAACTGATCAGAAATATTCCCTTGAATAGCAGAGAATGTTTCTTAGAAATGATGTAAGGCTTTTGTTGCTTCTAGTCATTTCTGAGCACAGGAGATTGGAGATCACAGCCAGGACATTCCTGATCTAAAAAGTTATTTTTTGTAATTTTGCAGTTTTTAAAGATGCTGTTGTTACAATTTCCCTTTCCCTCAGCTACCTGCAGTGCACTCATGGTAACTAATGCATTTGCTTTTATTAAAGATGAGATGCTAAAAAATAGACAGAGAATGCAATATGTAGTTTCCTAAACTAACATATGCAGAATATTAGCTGCATTCAGGTTTCCCCATACACTTGAGTCCTCTAAATACACTGACCCATATAGATCACACTCCACATTTTCAAATCTGTTCTTGCTGATTTCTTTATTAATAGCCTTCTAATTGCTCTATTTTTGTTACGCTTCCCCAGTGGGGTTTCCAAGGCAGGCAGTTATCAGGAATTCACAACGAAGCCTGAAAATAACCTACAGGTCCAGCATGTTGTCCTTAGAACTCCATCCCAGTGCATGCAGTGGGTTGTCATGACAGGATACCTCCACTCTTCAAGCACTGAAATGGCAGCCACGTATATATTTTATCATGGCTATGTTTATTTACCGGGGTGTATGTGGAGGCTGAGGTTGTTGTATTCTGCAGCCTTATGGGACAATCAAAGACCTCACCTAAAAAATACTACTCCCAAAAGTTAACTGCTGATTAATGGGAAAAGATCACAAATCCAAAAGGCTGTGGCAAGTAGTAAAGGAAACTGCAGATAACCCACGCCTCATTAAATTGCCTGGGTTATAGGGCAAAACCTATTGGCACTGACAAAGATCTGCAGCAAGCTACAAACTCAAATTTTCCTATTTCGTGTAAGGGACGAAGGGTCACTAAACAGCAGAAAGTGGATCTAATGAGGATCAGCAGGACAGCGCTAGCTATAATGATCTATGAGCTTTTGTGGGAGGTTATATTTAGTGTAAGTTTAGCAAGTGTTGGATGTTTCTCTGTTGTTTTATACCTCGGTGTGAAATGGTGACATGAGATAACAGTCTGCTAACCTGCCTAGCTGGGGCTGCCAGTTCAGAATCCACAGTGCCCATCACCTGTCAGGGGAACCTGCAGGCCACACTCTTAGCTGCTTTTAGGGGAAGAAAGGAGACCATAAATACCCAACAGATGGAGAGCACACATGCCTTGATAAGCATCTTGATTTAATCCAAACAATGTGCCACAGCAGCATGGAAACAAAAAGCATGTTTCTTAGACAGAGATTCTGTCTTTTCCTTTGAACCCATGTATGTTTTATACTTTCCAAAGTAAACATTTAATATTTCAAAGACTCTTCTGTAAAGCTGTCTGCTGCTTGCTTCTGCTACCCTTTAGCTCAGAGGTAATGTAACAATAAAAAAAACAGCAACCTGGAGCCTACAGGCACTCTTCACATACTGGTGAGTCTTGGAGAGCCAGCACTGATTCTGCGGGCACATGGTAGCTTGTCTCATTTCCATGAAACAACAATAAACAGACTCAATTCCCAGGAACCACACAAGCTCTGGGGCTGGCTCATTCCCACACCACAGCAGGAGGGCTGCCAGAGCCAGAGGGGTGCATGGGGCTCTGCTTACAGGCCAGCCGAGTAGCACAGCTGATGGGCTGCCAGGATGGTTTGCCTGCATGGCATACACGCGGGGTCTTCTCATGAAAAGCAAAGCCTGGTTTGCAAGGAGAGGAGAAAAAAGTCAACAGGAATAACTGATTGTGTTTAATTTATTTCTAGAGTTTTCTGGAGTCTCTTGGGGTGCTGATCTTTACATGGGTAAGATGAAGTACACCTCTCCCTTTCTCCTTCGCCTTCTACTTTGCATTTGCCCATCAGTACAACTGTCATTTCCAAAGGATGCCACTGTTGGCTTGGGAAACATCACCAATATTTAGACTAAAAAGGATCTGAAGATACTCATGTGCATAGTTGCCACAAATGCTGTTAAGCCTAAAATACCATACATTATTTATCATTAAGTAATTTAAAAAACGTTCCATGGCATATTTTGAAAAACTGTAGAAGTCCAGAATAAAAAGCTAGGAAGAAAGTAAGTACTAAAAAAGAGAAGAGGATTTTTATATATGCTTTTAAAAGTACCTCAAAAGCCAACATGCTATGCATGCTTAATCTTTATTTATATATGTATATATTTATAATCTATGAGGCAATATCCATCTTAAAAGCATTACTTCATTTAGATTGCTGTATTCAAGCACCCTTATCACACATTGTAGAACTCTCATAAAAGCTGAAAAGAACAGCCAAGAAATGCATTAAGAGACTTAGCTTATTAATGGCCAGTCACATATAGACTCATTTTTCTTGCCATAGGCTTTTATGATCTAGCAATAGAAATTTTTTCTTCATCTTTTTCAGAAATAACAGAGAGTTCCAAGAAATGGAAGCTGCTGCTAGTAAAAGAAGAAAAGCTGAGTATCATCAGGGTTAATAACTGCTACTTGAGATCCATGAATGATTACAGAGTTACACTTCTATATCGAACTTTCCATTGCCATTAGTAATATGCTGCCTGTCTGGGACATCGGTACCCTCATGGTGAGAAGACTATTTCTTCTTCACACCAAATAGAAGAGCTGCAGGAACAATGGCTTCTAAGGTCTCGTGCTTGTACGTTTTGACAGTAGTTTGCTGGGCAAGCGCTCTCTGGTACTTAAGTATAACCCGTCCTACTTCTTCCTACACTGGCCACAGACAGGTTAATAGCATATCAATAGCCAGAAAAAATGTCTCCTTTGGCAACATAAGAACTCGACCTATAAATCCACATTCCTTTGACTTTCTCATCAATGAGCCTAATAAATGCGAGAAGAGTGTCCCTTTCTTGGTCATTCTTATCAGCACAACTCACAAAGAGTTTGATGCAAGGCAAGCAATTCGGGAAACATGGGGAGACGAAAACAATTTTAAAGGAATTAAGATTGCCACGCTGTTTCTTCTTGGGAAAAATGCAGATCCTGTATTAAATCAGATGGTAGAGCAAGAAAGCCAAATTTTTCATGACATTATTGTAGAGGATTTTATTGACTCCTATCATAACCTCACTCTGAAAACATTAATGGGGATGAGGTGGATAGCAACATATTGTTCAAAAGCAAAGTACGTTATGAAGACAGACAGTGATATTTTTGTAAATATGGATAATCTTATTTATAAGCTGCTCAAACCTAACACCAAGCCAAGGAGAAGGTACTTCACTGGTTACGTTATCAATGGAGGGCCAATACGAGACGTTCGCAGCAAGTGGTACATGCCCAGAGATTTGTATCCTGACAGCAATTACCCACCCTTCTGTTCGGGCACTGGCTACATTTTTTCAGCAGATGTAGCAGAACTGATTTACAAAACTTCTCTTCACACCAGACTCCTCCATCTCGAAGACGTCTATGTCGGACTCTGCCTTCGGAAGCTGGGCATCCACCCCTTCCAGAACAGTGGCTTCAACCACTGGAAAATGGCCTACAGCTTGTGCAGGTACCGCAGGGTGATCACGGTGCACCAGATTACACCAGAAGAAATGCACAGAATTTGGAATGACATGTCAAGCAAGAAGCATCTTAGATGCTAAGATTTTTACAGATGTAAATACCTTTTTTAAATTTTGCTTTACTCTGGTTATTTTTTGACAAAGTGATGTACTGATTTACAGGTTAAACTGGGATATTACTGTGAGAGGATTTTTAATGACTGATTTCTCATTCTCATTTTGACTACTGGTTTACAGACTTCAGGCTCTTTTCTTAAGGATGCTACACCAGTCAAAAGGATCTATAGTCAAAGCTCAGATTTTGTATATTATCCTCCATCACACATATCAGCTCCTGCATCTGTATGTGAAAGGACAGTAATAAGCTATCATGAGCTGCTTAATAGTTCATGCCCCAGCCTCTGAGATAAGACTTGGGCCCTACAAAGTGAAGAATATACTTTTATCCCCTTTTGACACCCAACAATCATCCCTATTTAGAGCTTTGTTAATAAATTGAACAGTATGTATTTGCAAAGATCTACCTACCTATAGATATGCCTACCTTGGCATGTATATCTTACAGAACAATGTGTGCAGTTCCCAAGCAGGATGCTGATGGTGCAATAGCAGAATTTAGACAGGTAAGAACATCAAAGTCTCACAGGCCTTAGAACCAAACTCACACACAGAAGCATTTTTTTTATCCCCCAAGTAAATCATTTCACAAAATACTCCATTTCTCGCCACTGTTACAAGTAGACCCAAAAATATCTAATCCAACTTTGAAATGAAATATAATCTGTAAATTAAATGCAAGATGGGAAACATATGGAAAATCATCTTAAACATCAGTGATAATTTTAAAGTGAATGCAACATTTCTCATTAGTATTGGTGTCTGTGAATCTCTCCCTGTTTAGGAGTATATTAATGAATATGATAACAAGATTATTTTCTATTTGGAAAGAAGATCGAATGACTTGTGTAGAAACACGTAATTTTATCAAGTGATAAAATTGTTAGTTAATAAGCAGCACGTTCCATCAGCGTCAGTTGGTATACTATTTACCTGAACAAAAATCTAACACAGAAGAACATTACTTAAGGGTAAACTCTGTTTTTTTGCTTCAGTGCATATGAAAATGAGATTAAACCATATTTTTAATGGTTTTTATCCAATGCATTTTCTGTTGATTGGACAACATGCAACTTCCATAGAAAAATAGAGAGCTTTTTTTTAAAAAAAAAGTCCTTCTGCCTTTGTAACCAATCTGCAGCTCTCCACCGCAGAACCAGTGCTTACTGAGGTGCAGCTGAAAAAAGCACCAGAACTTAGAAATCCCAGGGCATGTGATAAAGATCAAATATGCAAGATTGTATTCAGGTTTGGTAATGTACTTTGATGTTCTAAATATGAATGTTAATGAGATGTGATGAAAATTATTTCCTGAAAAACTCTTCGATGTGTTCATACCATCCCTGCTCTGCACTGCTTTTCAAAAAAGAACTAAAACGTGATATCGCTTAGCAAGTAACTCGGAATGAGGAATTCATAGGCAATCCACAGGTATAAAATTCACCAAGTGTGTATTAGCTCTGGATTGCTCACACTGTCCACAGCTCACACGTAGGCTTCATTCATTTCAATGGGAGATATCCATAACATGAAAAACTGTTAAGAATGCACGTTATTCAGGATAAAGTCTATAAAGTCGTCAGAAATTAACTGAACCAGAATTTAAAGGAAAACTCTATACCGATTTTGCCATAGGCATATATAATACTTTATAACAATAGCAATTGAATGAGGATCCTACCCCAAAAGCTTTGCAGTTTCAAGACATATTGTTAGTCTTATTCACAGGTACAACACTATTGTTTCAAAGGGAATTACTGGTAAATAAGGTGAAGGGTACCTGGCATTTGAACTACACACAGTAAATGCCTCAGAGATCTACTTCAAATCTAAATGATGAAGCTACAGAACAGACAGCACTGCAGTTACTTGCTAATCAACAGGAGCTCATGAAAATCAGTAATTTTATACAAAAATACTGAATCTCCTGCAGCATAATTAAGATTTATCCTTCTCTAGTTGACCCAGTCCTTGTTAAAGTTGCTCTTGCTTCCTTACAAATTCAGAACTCCAACAAAACAAGGTCCAACTAATTGCATATATGTATATAAGAAACAGAGAGTGAAATTCAGCTTTTTTTAAACAGGTCCCAGAATATGCAGTTAGGGAAGGAAAACTAGGGTGGAATTCAACCCCAACCCTCAGTAGGTCACAGAGCATGAATGTAACCATACCAGGGTACACTCTGTAGTAATTATAACCAAGGCTGAAATATCTTCTACCGTTTGTTGATACTGTGTTGTAATTTGGGGTTTCTGAATCTACAAACTGGATTTGGTGGCTTTAATTCTTCTGCTGGTGATTCTATAGTCTGTGGCTAGTAAAACCAAGGACGGCAGAGCTCCCTGTCCTGATACCTCAGGGCTCAAGTAGCACAGCAGCCTTGAATTACTCCTAGTAGAAGTAGACTGCATTAACAATCGGAGCGTGCACCTTGAAAATAACATCTTCAAAAATATATTTCCTGCCATTTATAAATAGATAGATCTTAATGACAATGTAAATTTTCACCTTGGAAACTATGTACATATTCCTAAGGCATTTTCTTCTGTATTCAGCTGTATATATATGTGTATGGTCTGCTTGCTATGTAGTATTCTGTTATGCATGGAGCTGAATTAGGCATTATATTTGTCCAGTGTTACAAGAGCCTTAAGCATGTGTGCCCTAACTTTTGAATGTACAAGACTTTTTTCTTTTATTGTCAAGTGAATTTAAATCTACGAAACCTAATTTTCTACTTCTATTAGTTTTCTCATAGTAGGCTTCACTAGATTGTTACACATAAATAAAGAGATTAATTTTCCCTTTGCTCAGAAATTGCATTATTTCAACCTAGAGCTAGAAAGGGAAACCATGACAGCCATGCATCTACTTGTGGACAGCATGGGTTTTATTCTCCAAGCACTTAGAAATGCTTGTGTCACCTTGGGTACTGTTAACAAATAACACTGTTTGCATTGAGCTCCCTTTAAACAAAAGGAGTATTTGCTCCTTAAAGGTCATTTTGTTTCACTGGGCATGGGGCAAATGACAATTTGGTTAAGATGTTCTGGCTTCTAGTCACTTCAAAACTGTGAAGTAATCATATTTTTATTTCAAAGCATCCAGTAACAAAGCACACTGAACTAAGAATCTATGGGAGAGCGTCTCTCTTTTGGAGGAACTTTTCACAAAACACTTCTAGGCTAAATTCATGAGAGTATTTAGACAGAAGTCTCAAGATTCATTTTCCGTCTTTCCTAATAATAATCTTAAGTATCAATTTTCATTTGTTACGGGGATTTTTGTCTTTATAACGTAGATGGCAATGGCATTTGTAAATGAAGAGTGTAATTAACTAGAAAAGCTTGTCAACAGTAACCAAACTTTAGGTGTATCATTATATACGACTGGCTGTACTTATGTATTTATTTGTCTAAATTGTATATATTGTTTTATCTCCGGTGTCCGTAGGAGTGCATTCTTTTAGATTAAAGTATTATCTACAGTTTTGTGGGATTGCCAGCAAAGCTGCTAATCAAGATACTATTTTTTTGTATCAATGTCAAATAATAATAATAATAAAAAAAAAAGAACAACAAAGTCAAATGAAAAATTGAAGGTGTCACATAGTTTTCTTCATTTCTCTCTAGGAATGCAGGTGTTATTATCTGAAACTATGATATCAGTAAGTAAGGTTCATTTTTCAGGAGGAAGAATACTATCCTGTAAAAGCAGATTTTAGAAAAATGATTGGGGAAAAAAAAAGGATAAAAATACTGCTTTACTGTTTGCACAGCAACTTAAGCTGCTGTCCATACTGACCAGGCATACTACTTCATTTGGCTGATCTGATCTTATAACAGCCATGGCAACATCTAGCAAATTAGCAGATGGGCTCCTCATCTGCTTTGGCATCCCCAGCATTGCATTTAGTTTGGCAGCCTCAAAGTGGAGGAGCTCTTCGGCTCCACTAGCCATGTAACATGAGGGACCTCCCTGTACCTGGTGTGTTTGTAGCCATTCAAAAGCTACATATAGGAAAAAAGCACAAGCGTTCAAAAACGCACATCTCATTAAACCACAACAAACTCACTCTGAGGTTGCTGCATGGCTGCTGGGAGGGCATGCACAGGCACCAACCAATAGGAAGTGGTCAAAAGAGGACCTCCTTGCACACAGTCACAGGGCTCCTGCTTCCACATGCCCCAACCAGGAGCATTAATGATGAAGCATATTCTGAACGCACCCAGCTTATCTTGTTAGTCTAATGTGGGGCTTTGCTCTTAATACAAGTACATTAAGATGCTATTTTTCAGGTGGGAAGGCCTGGGAGGCCTCAGGGTTTTCACATCAACATAAGGAAAGAGGAGAAGCAAACCCATAAGAGCAATACGAAATCCTTTTACTCCACGAACTAGTGAGAATCAGGATACCGGTTTGTTTTGGCTTTTTTTTGTATCTATGTCAAATAATAAAAGGGTGTGATGTATTTCATTTCGTTCTAGAAACATAAGTGGTATTACCTGAAAGTATGATATCAATAAATAGGTTCACTTTCCACGGGGAAGAATATTATCCCACCAAAGCACATCCGTCTCCCTCCACCCTCACCTTTGCAATTTCTGGCTCAGAACTCAGTTTCTAACGAGTTTGTTTTTGTTTTTCCTGGGGTCACCTCTTTCAGGAGCAGCTGGAGGCTGCTACAGATGTCAGGCACCCTGAAGTGCCTGCAGTGACACCTACAAGTTATAGCAAGGAGAGCTTTAAAACAACTTCATGTACAGGAAAAACCTCTCCAATCATTTGCAGATTTTTCTCATTTTCACCACAGCCGCCTAAGTCTAATTGCAACACTTACACGGTACTTAATTAATATACAGCTTAGAGATATACAGATATTAGCACTTGTAGGGTAGATTTCATGTAGCTTGATTATCTTAATTACAAGCATTCTATTTTCTCATTTACTTAATTGATTGTCATAGATTTCCAAAGAAATTTTTACTGCCTTAAGTGAAAACAACATATTAAAGAAAACTGCTGAAGCTATCCAATTGAAACAGCAAAGTGCCACATACGACATGAAACATTCTACTGAATAATACCTGCTTACTTTTCCCTTGTTAAAAAGAGTCATTTATGAAATTGAAGCAGGAGAATCATCTGAAAAAGAATAATGAATATGTGTTATTGATTCAACTGCACCTGTAATAGTGTTGTCTCAAGCATCTCCTCTGATGACAGCCTAACTCAGGGAAAAAAGGCCCATTTTTCTGCTAGGTCTGCACATCAGCTGACTCTACGTTATAACTCTGCCTCACCTGAAAGAGCTAAGGAGAGCAAGAGGTGATTTACTCTTCACGCAAGGTTTATCCTTGAACATTTCTTCTGCAAAGGCAGCATTACACGACAAGCTGAGCAGAATTATGTGCAGTGGTTTTGTAATGCATGCAACTTTTATGCAGGGCAAGCTAATATCCCAAATTTGAGTTGCCCTAGGCATTATCTACCATATCTGCAGCCAAGCCAAGACTGCTAGAAAAATTATGATCTCAAAATCCTTTTTTTCCTTTAGGAGTTTTCTTACTCCATGATGTTTTGAAGACCGCAAGAAAAAGATCTTCAGGTGCATCAGTATAGCAGTAAAAGGAGGAAGCTGAGAGCTCCCTGGAGTTCTTGTGAAGAAGCAGCAGGAGGCCTAGAGCATAGAATTATTTAGCTGACATCCATCCTCCTGGCAATCACAGCCATCCAATGAGAGGCCACAGCCAGTACCTGGACTCTGATCCTGGTGCACTGTGACTGAGCTCCAGTCTAGCACTCACATGAGGAGGAAGGAGACATGATAAGATGTAGAATCATTAAGGTTGGAAAAGACCATTAAGATCATGTAGACCAACCATAAAGGTACAGCGGCATATGAAATAATCCACGTCTAAAGCAATTTAGAACATTCAGAAGAACATGTTAAAAGAAAACAGTGCCAAAGTGTAACAAGAGCAGAAAGGAAAATATTTGAAACATTCTAAATTTTTATTATTTATGCAACTTCATTTAAAATCCTTCCTCAAAAAGAATCTTGAATTGTTACACATTTCAGAGTAATCCATTATC